ACAAAGTTGCTCGCGTCCGTGGTTTACCACACGTGTCCCCTGGGTAACGCTAAATGAGCAACAGTGATTCGCCAACTCTGCGGTTGACCATTGTGTGCGTGCGGATACCTACAAGCTGAGAGGACAGTCTGCACGTCCACTGGTCCGCACATCACCATATGGATAACATATTAAGGGTGGGCGTTTCCTAACAAACAACAAACAGCGTTTTCAGGCAGTCCGACGGAGGAAAGGGAAAGCGCTCGGGCTCGATCGGTTTTGGTCTAGAGAGAGATCAGTGACACGCAGGACATTGCAGCGGATCCCCAAGTTAGTTAGCAATTGTTGATAAAAAGCAGAAAAGACTTTCGGCAGAAATGCGAAAATGATATACTTATGATGCTTATTCTTATGACCAAACGATTACCTGGTGCCCCTTAAGAGCAGACTCCTGCAGTTCTGCGAGTAAGCGGATGAATCTATCTTCCATCTAGAGTTATAGAAAGAAAGAAAAAAAATTCCGACCTGAAAATCGACGTCATTCTCTCCTCCACCAAAGAGACCGTGGTGTCCGCTGTATCAATTACCACCATGATCCATCCAAACCCATTGAAATTTAGAATGCGAAGCTTTCCGAAGTCTTCGTATTCGAGTCTTGTGCAATGTATGGGAAGACATTTATGTTTTCACAATTTAATTATGATATAGTTGGCTTCTCTAGGTGTGAATCCAACCTGACCTCCTAATCAAACATTCATCTATTTACCTCTCATGCTTAAACTCCCATTCTTCTCCAAGGAGAAGGAAAATGCAAACCATCAATGAGATGACCTCCTCTGGAATGGAGGAGTCAAGATGTGTACCCACTTGGCTGTGCTGAGAACGCCGCGTTCTAGGCGCATGCGAATGTTTTGGCCGTAGTGCTGCAACCTTCCTCAACGTGAAATGATGCATTTCGCCGTGAGGAAGGTAGCAGTATGACGGCCGAAACGTTGGCATCTGTTCACAGGGCGCGGCGTCTCACGAACACCCAAATAGACACTGACTCCGGCCGTGCGAATCTACTCTTTCAAGATATGTAGTGTATTCTTCCGGCAAAACAAACTTAACTAATCTGCCTCGCCAGATATAAATCTGGCTCAACTAGTACCTTATGAGTTGTTCGCATATTGGGAATAATTCGGTGCCGATAGAGTTTTCACCTGAAAGGCAAATTCGCGAATGCGTCTTCTTGTTGGTGTACCGGACTGTTGTACCCACGTTGGCGGTTTCAAACCCGATCGAAGCCGTGGATTTTTAAGGGCGAAAAGTTCCTTCGTACGCCTTCCTTCGGAGGGGAAGTAAATTCGGCTGTCCCATGTCAGAAGATTTACTTGCATGTAAAAGATCCTCAAGCCTAAATGACGCTTCTGAGCTTCATTCAAATCGCCTGTTTCGCCGCATGAAATACCTTCTTTCTCTGCTAGTTGGTGAAAAGAGCGTAGCAAAATTTGCGTGATCAGAGGAAGAGCAGGCCTCATAGCGTAAAATAAGGCATTAATTCAATTGAATTTAGATTGGCGTAAGTTTGACTAAATGTAGTATAAATCAACCGCAGTCACATCCATCTGTTTCTGAACGGCTTCCCGCTTGCAGATGCGGATCGGCCTCCACACGGGGACGGTGCTGGCCGGCGTGGTGGGCAAGAAGATGCCCCGCTACTGCCTGTTCGGGCACAACGTCACCATCGCCAACAAGTTCGAGTCCGGCAGCGAGCCCCTGCGCGTCAACGTCAGCCCCACGACTTACGAGTGAGTACTTCTTCCTCCTCCTCTTCTTCTTGAAGCTTTTCGGGTGCTGGTTTATGACGTCAGCAGTCCCTTTGGCGACGAAGTCTGAAATCTGCAATGAATTCTCTTTACGCGCGTTGCACTTTTGACTGACGTTTGATTTTATTTATGGCTAAATATATAGGGATCTTTGCATGAAAGCCGTAATTCGTAGTCATTACACTGTTCTTTGCGATCCCATCACTTCATAGAAAAGCATAATTGACTGGAAGTTGTAAACAGTGTATGAAACTTTAATATTCAATTTATTGAAATTATTCTGAAATATGAACGACAACAATGTTTTTGTGTATTTATATAGGTGTGTGAATGTATCTAACATTTCAGGTACATTTCCTACAACATGAACAATACATTCACATAAGTGCAGAAGGAAGAATTAGAGACATAGAGCATTCTATTTTAAGACATATATGTTTTTTCACGAAAAGTCACAAATGGGATTAAGTATTTGATATGTATACATGTATATACACATATGTGTATAAGCATGTGCGTGCGTGCCATAAGTTTTGCTATATTCAACTATGTTTTATATATTCTTGTTTTTTTTGTGAAAAATGACTACTATTTCGTCTTTCAATTAAATACCACATACATTAGAAAGTAAAAAACGTCCAGCTGAAAGAAATGATAACATTTTTCAATGAAGAAATGTTACAGGTGTCTTGTTTTGATTATAGTATACACTCACACTTGATGATTTGTTTACAACTTCTTAATGACATTTAACTGGAAGAAGAAAAGAAATTTAACTGGAGCGACGTTGATTAGGACTGAATTAAAAAACACGTGTGTTTTCTTTGCCACAAGTTACGAAATAGAAGTTCGTGATACAGACCGCAATCTCTTAGAGCCCAGATGCGGGTATTGGTTTGTATACAGGTCTATTTCTGAGGCCAGTTGGAAATGAGCGGCTCTCTAAATAGATCTTTTTTAATGGATCTTTTGTACACAGAGCGATCTAAAGCAAAAGCGTTGCTGCTTGTCTGAAAGTGGAAACTGTAGAGAGTTTTCACCAAACGCTACTAAAACTCAAGATCAGAATATATTAAAAGCAAAGATCATTTTAATTTGATTGTTATAAAATAAGCAGTGTATGCGATCATTAAAGTGAGTAACATCATAACGGAAATGGAGTTTCAATTTGATGCCTTTCTTCTTCTTTATAAATTTCTTCTTTATACTCCATTTCACAGAAATTAAATATCAATTTTCTGCATTTTGCTTTAGTGCATACGTTTGGTTACATGCTTTGAAACAACTAACGTGGCGAGTATTAAAGTTTACAAAAAATATTATTTCTAAAGGTTCCGAAAGATCAAATTTATCTTTTTTGTTAATTAGGCAAAAATGAGTATTTGATTTGTAAACACATATTTAAACACGTTTCTTAAAATGTATTTAAAATGTTTTCTGGTTTCCAAGTGGACTATAGCCGGAAAACCAGCTATCCACCTTAATTTAAAAGTGTAATTCATCATGTATAATTATAATCCTAAAAGGATTTTGTAAGGCAGCTAGTCGACGCAGAGTAAGCGGACGCTGCATGTTTTTGTAAAAGGTAACATGTTTCAAGTGATTTTTGAATATTGGTTTTATATAGGTTTATTAAAATTGATTTTAGAACAGTGAATCTTCAAACTTAAAAAAATCGCTAACTTCCCATCACTAACTAAAACCTCACACTAACACATGCTTGAAGCTAAGCCAAAACCTTCTTGAAGAAGGTATTTTTACTACTTAAGTAAGTACTGGAGATATGACGAGTGATAAGCCTTTATTCTATTAATTGTACGATTTTTAATCATTTTAATATTAATAAGCGACAACAATCCGGAGCCCTTTTATTTAAAGAAAAAATCATGAAAGTTTGTAGAAAAAAATCACAAAGTTCTATCTACATGAAAATCCTTAGTTAATAATATTATTCTTGCTGCAGTGAAGTAATGAAGAAGTGGCCTCTATTGATCTAAGCTTATAATAATTTATGTGAGTTCAAAGCATCGCCCTTTGCATAATGGGACTATAAACTATTTCGCCGCGTTTGATGAATGAATATTGCATAAAAGATCCCAAAACTTTGTACGACGTACACCCATACAACGTCACCAAGTACCGAGTAACGAACAAAGCACTCCTCAAACTTGCGTTGCGATCGTGCCTTCAGGAGAAGCGTATCCTGCCTCAAAATTCAAGCAAATTCTGAACTATTTCTCCAGTGCAGCGTAACATTGTTCGACACTCCCAGGCTTCAAGTTTATTCTCGTATATCCGTTATCTGCCGCTGCTTTATTTTCCACTAAAGCGCCAATCAGGCTTCTCGGAGCGCCGGGGGTGGGGTGGGGGGAGCGGGCGTTCGACGCCTGATTAGCCACGGAAATTGCGCAAAGAGGCTGACGGGGCTCCGTGGCGCGGTGGAAAATAGCGAGCAGGAGAAGGGGAAGCGCGTTAGAGGCGCAGCGATGAGCCGATCTGTAAAGTTCGCGTTCATTGGAGAATTTTAATTATTTTTTGCGCAGTGAATTTTGCGTTAATGAGATAAACAAGGCTTGTCATGTAATAAAATTGTTTTTTATGTAAAGAATTTAATTCCTTTCAGCAACTTATATTTATACTGTTCGTGTGTTATTTAACTTATTATTCAAAATAATATAATTCAATTTGTTATTGTAATATTTACAACTACCTCTATCATATGTGTGAGTTTTTGTGTGCAGTGGTATGTGTGTAGCTTATAATATTTTTATATTTCACAATTAAAGTCATAATATTTTATAAATCAAAAATATTTTGTTGTAGGCTATTCTTCATTGCCATAATAATTTTTGGGTAATGTACAATAATATATCTTATTCTCTTCATATTCATGTGTGATTTGATGTGTGCTGCAGCATATTAAATGTCTCAAGCTTTCAATATCTATTACATATATATTTTACATTCTAAATCTGATAGAGAATGGATATTACACATCCGGTATTAACAATGACGTGCGTGCATCTGTGAAATCCACTTCTTCCAGAGACTCTAGTCACAGAAGCGTTGGTAAAAAGGTATATTTCAGAGAACGGAAGTCGTAAAAAAGCGCAGAAGGAATTTCATATAACCATTGCTGATTTCCCATGTGCGAAATATGCAAAGATGTAATATATTCGACACCTGTAGGCTCACAAAAATATGCTCGTGCCACACTTGGCTCGGGTTAACATTGGGATGTATCTAAATGTTACCAGCCCACCCAGCAGTGTAACTGTTCTCCTGCCCTACCGCTCAACCTCGTTTTCCCAGCCAATCCAATGCCTAAATTCTCCCTTCCACAAAACGTCCTTTCCACCTTCCCGCC